AACAGCTGCTTGGCATGCTGAAGGCCCCAGATTCAATCCCTGCCACCCTCAGGTCAAATAATCTTTGATAAAAACTAAGTGAGCATAGCAGGATGATGTTGTAATCCAAAACATCTGGAGGGCACCAGATTGGAGAAGCTGGTTGAAAATGACTGACTTCTCCATGAAATTATTTCAGTCATAAAGGAGTCTTGGAACAGGGCTCTGTCCCCTGACCACATAACTTACCCCTATGAGCTCCATCCCTTTAGTAGCCAAGAGTAGTTTTCTCTTGCGGCAGGGTCCTCTTACACCCTCCAAAGCTTCATTCATTCAGTAGGAGCTGAAATACCTTGGAGGAATGTCATCAACCCCAGCAGGCAGGATGTGGTCAGATGGGCCAATGACTTGAGTTGATTGACGGCCAAACCCATTTCTTGGTGGTTTCATCACTCTCTGGTTGACCTCAGCTATTTGTCCCAAGCCATCCCCATTACCACTAGCGCTTAAACAAGGAATTAGCTCATCTCTTTGCACATTCAGTATCTTATAAAGGTTGGATCTGGGCTGAAGCAGGCTATATTCTGAGCCCTGATGAGATTCTAACCATTTTAAGGGATCCCTACCTTAGGTATAATAATCCTGTCTGACAGACACTTAAAGAAATATATAAGTTTCAGGTTGGCTCTATATCTTCCCAAACGCAGAGAATGAGTTAACATATACCTTACAGATTTACCAAATGCTTGTTTAAGATAATAAGGGAGACCAAGATAAAAAGAGAAGTTTGTTTCAAAAATGATGGCAGGCATGTTTAGGTCTTCAGTGGGTTGGTTGCACCAGGGATACTGATGTTACTGAGGGCTATTGCCCAATAACATATTTTGGGCAGCACCATCTGTTGCATGTTTACTTGGAGCTGCCTTCTGCCAAGTTGGATCAATGGTCCATCTATCTGTAATGCCTACACTGACTGGCAGCAGTTCCCCAGCATTTCAGGCAGGGGAGGCTCCTAGCCCTACCTAAAGGTGCCAAGGATTGAGCCTGGGGACCTTCTGCAGTGAAAGCAGATGGTCTACCACTAAGCTAAGATTCTAGCCCTCATGATTTTGAATAGAAGGCTGATTTAAATAGGAAGGCAGGAAGCTACCTTATCCTAACCACCGGTCTACCCAGCTCAGTATTGTTTACACTGGCTGGCAGTGGCTCTCCAGGGTTTCAGGAAGGAGACATTCCCAGTCATACTTAGAGATGCTTCCAGGGATTGAACCTGGGACCTTCTTCATGCAGAGCAAGTGCTCTGTCACCAATCCATGGCCATTACTCAAATGCAGTGAGACTAACTCCCAGCCCCAAACTGCAATCCAAGTCAGACCCATTGACTCCTAGGTAAGTGAGTGTAAGACTGCAGCAACAGTCAGCTCATTGTATTCTGTGGGAAAACCCAAATAGCCATTTGTTCAGCTTTAAATAGCAGGTTTCATGGGGAAAGCTCCGGAGTGTGTGTGCTCAGACATGGAGCTTTAAATTGAGGATTTCTACTTGGAAAGAGTGGGGCAAAAGGTAAGTGCAGGTAAGTCCACCACCAGATACATCCCAAGGCTGCTATTTGCTCACAAGGACATCTGCCTCCAGAGCAAAACCACAGGCTGCTGATGTCTCATGCAATGACCAGGTGGGACCTGATGAGGCAAACACTTTGGGGGTGCCCCCCATCAAAAACATCATCAACATTTTTGAAATACCTAGCAGAGGAAGGCTGCTTCATTTGCAGAGCAAAGGTATGATCTTCCATTCTTTGGCTTGAGCGAAGTTAGGCCGTATGGCAGGCATAGGCAAACTCAGCCCTCCAGATGTTTTTGGCCTACAACTCCCATGATCCCTAGCTAACAGGACCAGTGGTCAGGGATGACGGGAATTGTAGTCTCAAAACATCTGGAGGGCCGAGTTTGCCTATACCTGCCTTATGGCTTCTTATGCCGGCTGTTCAATAGTTGTGCAGGAGACAAAGTCACAGCACCTTCCCTTTCTAGCAGGGATCCCATCCAATTTTTGCATACATTTACAGGGCAGGGAACATGGAATTCATCTCAGCAAAGGAGCAGGCTAATTGGACCACCCAGATCTTTCCACCTTGCTCAAGAAGGGTTGACTAGTGACACACCTATTGTGCAAACCTGGTCCACTTGATTGCCAGCCTCAGAGTTGCTGCACTGGGTCAATGTTAATGGGGAATGGAGACGAGAGTGTTCATCTGGATCCATCCAAAAGCATGTTAAGTCCAAGTGGCTTAAATGTCATTGTAAGATGTGAATTCGTGGCTCCCAGACCAGGCTGCTCCAGGTATGTAGATGCTACAGATAGCTTGTATCCTGTCCTGATGGGTTACATTCTCTCAGAAGGTCCTAATGAACTCAGAAGTTCAAAGGGTCCACCACTGTGATGAGTTTCCTGGAGGAAGGCTTTTTAAGATTGGGCTGCTCATCAGTACCTGTTAGGCTCTTCCACCCAGATTATCTAGTGTATAAAACTGCTTAGATAGACTTTCCCACAAACTGAAATGCAGACCTGAAATTTCAGTCTGGAGAGAGGAGCACTTTCCTTTCTTTTTCCTTAAAAAAACACAAACTGATCACATCAAACAATTTTATAAAAGCAGTAATAAGGCCTTGTTGAAAGAACACTTGCAAGCTCACAACATTAAGGACTTCACTTGCTAAGCTTAGTAGTTTAGTTCAGGCTTCCCCAACCTTGTGCCCTCCCAATGTTTTGGACTACAGTTCACATTGAACCCAGCATCATATGGCCATGCTAGCTGGGGCTGATGGGAGTTGTAGTCCAAAACATCTGGAAGGCACCAAGTTGTGTTGGAAAGCTGGTTTAGACCCCGGAGTATAATTCTGAGCACCCACACCTGGAAAAGCTTTCAAATTTGAACTCTGTAAATCATTTGCAAACAGATTTGAGCCGTGATTCTGCTTGCAATTTTCTTCTGTAGTAACCCCCATGCTTATCACCATACTGTCATTTAGTCCCGTTTACAAATAAATTGAGTTTTCCTCCAACCAAGATTTCTGACTCTTTATTTTATAATTGTATCTGGAAAAAAAAATTGGCACATGAACAACTCAAAGCAAACGGTAAGTGAAGAACCCCTCCCCACCCCCAAAGAGAGAATAAAAGGTGTCCGAGCAGCATCCGAGTCTTAAAAGAACCCATTTCATTTTCCTTTAAGGTTGCCAGCCCTACTGGCAAAGGAGAATTCCAGTGGCAAGTCTTTGTTACTTTCAGAAGATTAGTTGAGACAATAAAATAAAATAAAATAAAATACAGCTTCAGTCAAGTTACACAAATACTGTTTGGACTTTTAAATATCAGCTTCATTTTAGTAAAAATACTCAGGTTTTTGACACACGTAAAGCGCAGTGGAACAGACAGGAGTTTGTCGATTTGGCAACTGGACAGACAGCACCCCACCCCACCCCAAATACTTTTAAGGAAAGAAACCCACAAAGGTTGGATAGGGTAACGTCGACACCGTGACATGAGTGGTAGATACTAGGGTGACCATTGGTTCCAAAGCATTCCCAGGAAATCCTGCCATCTTGTTCAGCTTTGCCAGACCAGATTGTAGCCGACTGATGGGTTATGAGCAGGGAATTGACTGACACAGCCCTGCCTGCGTGTGATACTGTTCTTTCTTCCCGGGAGCTCAGGCATCAGTCTGCGTGTGGTTAGAAATTAGCCTGAAACTCTGGGAGCACACACTGAGCTGCAGCCTCTGCTTGGGAAGAAGCCCCTGCTTGCCACCAGCTCAGCATCAACCTGGGCTGAGAAGCAGGATGTCGCTGGCCCCTTTGGGCTGCAAACCACAGAAAATGGACAGTGAGAAGTTCTCTCTCTCTCTCTTGCAACCCAGAGCTCTGCAACTTAAGGAGGAGCGTATGGTGCTGCCTGGCAAAGAGTCAGACCCACCATGACCAGCTAGCTCAGAATTGTCTACACTGATCAGCAGCAGTGGCTCTCTGGGGTTTCAGACAAGGGAATGTTTCCAGCCCTTGCTGCAGATGCCATTGGCAACTGACCTTCTGCATGCCAAGTAGATGCTCTAACACCAAGCTACAGCACAGCAAATATGCCAGTTTTGGTTCCCCTCAAGTTCTCATTTATCCAATCTTAAGACGACTTCTCCACATTTCCAAATCGGTCTGCAATTTTTATTTTTATTTTTAAAAGCCCTCAAGAAAATTCACCACCATTTAAAGCCTCATCCTCACTTCGTTTTTACCCTGCTCTTTCCAGGCACAGCTCTGTACTTTCAAGTTACATGTCCAAGCGTCCTTTTTTGGCCATGAAGATTTCCCTACCAAAAAACCCCTGCTCTTTAAAGCTGAAGTGCAACAAATGGCAATTAGGGTTTCCCATGGATTGTGGGTTTTCATGAGGAAAGCTCTGGAGGAGACAAAAGGACGCTCAGACATGTAGCTTTAAAGTACGGACCGTGTCTGGAAAGCACGGAGGAAAGAAAGGTGAGTGTGGATATGCCTTGAGTGCAAGTATCTCCTAATATGCACATTTTTTGTATGCAATTTTCCCACAGTGTGGGAAGCAAGATGTTGCACTTGAGGGACCTCTGGTCTGATCCAGTTTCAGGGCACTCTTTAGTTTCTTAGGGGCAAAATGAACAACACAGCGTCTCAAGCCATGTGTTAAAATGCAGGCCCTGTCAGATTCCTGTCAAATTATCTCTGGGAATGCATGTGCACAATTTAAAGTGAAGCATGGAGTGGAAGCGGGGAGGTTGAACCCAAGAACAGCCTCCTGGATCAGGCCAATGGCCCATCTAGTCCAGCACCCTGTTCTCACAGCGGCCAACCGGATGCCCCTATGGGAAACCCAGAAGCAGAACCCAAGCGCAAGAGTTGCTCTCCCCTCCTGTGGTTTCCAGCAACTGGTATTCAGAAGCATTGCTGTCTCTGATCATGAAGGCAGAGCATAGCCATCCTGGCTAGTAGCCATCAATAGCCCTCTCCTGCATGTATTTGTCTAATCCCCTTTTAAAACCATCCAAGTTGGTGACAATCACTGTCTCCTGTAAAAGCAGAGTTTGCCTATGTGCTGTGTAAATAAGTACTTAATGCCGACTCTTTACCTTGCTCTCCCTTCCCCCAAAGCATCCTGGGAACTGTAGTTTGATGAGGAGGCTGTAAATGCTCTGTAAGAGATCATCCCCTCCCCAGCAATTCCCAAGGGTCCTCAGGGATAATGCTCAAGAAAATGCTGCTGGATCAGGCCGGTGGCTCACCTAGTCCAACATCCTAGTGGCTCATCTAGTTGATTTCCCATAGGCCAACCAGATGCCTGTAGGAAACCAGCAAGCAGGATTCGATCACAAGACCCCTCTCCCCTTCTGTGGCCTCCAGAAACTGCTATTCAGTTTGTGTATGTGTAGATCCAGGCATGCCCCGCCCCCAAGTCTCCTTCACTTCATGGAGATTTATGGGGTCCTACATCCTGGCTGTGCTTCCCGCACCCCCACATGCAAGACCAAAGGGAGAAAACTCAGCACCGTCAATTTGCAATGCAAAGGCAATCTGCAGCCGTTCCTGTGCAGCTGCAGTAAAAAAAATGGCTGTGGGCTGCATCTGCATTCAGGCTGGATTCAGTCGGGTTGCAAGGACTCGAAAGGAAACTGGTTCATGTGTGCTGAATGATCCCTCCTCCCAAAGGTTCCCCAACTTTTTCTGGAGATAGCACCCTTTAAAAAAATGCGGGAGGGATTCCGCAATGAATTTTGTAAAAGCAAGCAAAACAGCCCATCCTGCAAAAGTGAAAAGGCAGTAACAGCCGGTCCTTTTGCAAAGTACGTAATAGAGGCAGAGAAGGATGGCAGCATCTGCAGGATTTTTACAAGTTATTAAATTAATCCACTGCTTGTCCCCTAATCTAAGGGTGGGGAACCCGTGACTCTCCAGATGTTGTTGGACTGCAACTCCCAGCAGTCCTAGCCAGCATGGGCTAAGGTCAGAGATGATGGGATGTGGAGTCCAGCCACATATGGAGGGCCACAGCCTCCCTGCGCTAAACCAAGGACCAGGTGGGTTTTCTCAGGCTGATTGTGAAGCAAATTGGCTTTCTTCCCAAGCCTTGTGTCCCATCCCAAGTGTTATTAAGCCTACAGAAAGGAGCATCTTTCTTTTCCCCACAGTCTTTGAAACATGGTCATTCTAGTATCACCACAAAATAAATTCAGATCATGACGGCTAATGGTTTGCAACAGAGGATGTCACCACAACAGCTGCCGGGAGCAGATGGTAATGGATGCGGGAGGGTGATGCTTATGGTCTACAATGGCTACTTAGCTCTGGACTTCAGCTTTAAAAAACTCAGAGTTACAAAAGGAAAATCCTTCGAATTCTGATTGGTCAATGTTCCTGATGACTTCCTGGTCAGGTGGTGTTAAGACAGGTGGGTGGCGAGTGAAAAACCGGTCGAAGTTTTCGGCGTTTCGTCCGCACTATGAAAGGGGAAAAAAAGAACTCATGGTAGGTGGCGAAAAGGGGGAAAGAAAAGCGGGAGGAGGAGGAAAAAACAAAACCAACCCAAATGCAAAAGTCGGAGGTGGTTTTTTGCCACATCCCCACCCCATCCCAGGCTCCAGCCCCCCACCCCCGCCCCTGGTGGTCAGGCAAAGTATCTCCAAATGAGCAAAACGAGGTGAACGAAAAAAGAAACAATGCAAAATACTTATGACTCCTTTGGCAGGAGGGTGGATCTGATTGCAACCGCAGAGTATTTTGTCATGGAGGTGCTGGGGAACTGATAAGCTGTCAGCCAGCCACCCGGCAAGTAATTGTAGGAGAAGGATGAGATGACAGGGCAATTACTTGCAGAACTCCACCAGCCGCATGCAATACCGTACCTGTCCCAGAATGTGCCACATGCATGGGAAGGTGTGTGTGTGCGGGGTGGCATCTCTCTTTTGGAAAAACAAACACATTATACTTGTATATCCTGCACAGAGTTCTCCATCGTCTCCCATCCAAGGGACAGATCAGGTTCACACCCGCTTAGCTTCAGCCAGGCTGCAGCCTCAGGTGTCCCCAGACCGCACCCTCTTGCAAAAAAAAGAGAGACTGGCATTTCAGCAACATGCTTACGGGGACCTGTGCCCCTGCTCCATTTTAAGCCCAATCAGAAGGTCGGCGGTTTGAATCACCGCGACGGGGTGAGCTCCCGTTGTTCGGTCCCTGCTCCTGCCAACCTAGCAGTTCAAAAGCACGTCAAAGTGCAAGTAGATAAATAGGTACCACTCCAGCGGGAAGGTAAATGGCGTTTTCGTGCATTGCTCTGGTTCACCAGAAGCAGCTTAGTCATGCTGGCCACATGACCCGGAAGCTGTATGCCGGCTCCCTCGGCCAATAAAGCGAGATGAGCGCCGCAACCCCAGAGTCGGCCACGACTGGACCTAATGGTCAGGGGTTCCTTTACCTTTACCTTTTTAAAAACCGGCTGCTCAATCTGACAAGGCACCAAGGGGATACCACTACTGAGAACCACTGCCCACTTCCAGGCACATAGGTTCACCCCAATCTCCCCTCAGCAAGGCCATGAAATCTGCTGTGTGAACAACAGTATTTCAATTACCAAGGAGTCCAAACTAGGCATTGTGACACATCTGTCTGTTTACCCCTCTTCTCTTCAAACTGTAATATTGAGTCATAAGCCCTCATTTTGCATATTTTCCAGGCCCTTCCCCCACCCCACCTCACACGAATGGCTGCTTCTGGAAGGGAAGGAAAGGACAATGTCACACATGGCAGGGAGGACCAAACTGGTTGAGATAGCAAGCCAGGTGTGACTGCAGTTGTGCGATCCCCTCACCCCCACAGCAAATCGCAAGTGCAGACACTATAATGTCTACTTTGAGGCTGGGTTCCTTGGAGGAAGAGTTTGATCAACCAGTCATTACTGTGATAGCTTGGTGCATCTGCTGAGTCATTTCGTTGAGCAGCACCACTTATGCAAGTTCTCAAGATTTCATTTCATGAAAACACTTACGGCACACCCATTTTGAGACAAACCAAGTTTTGGCGGCTGAGGGCCATTGTTTGTAAGAACCAATGATTAAAGAAGAATTCCAGCATAGTTTCAGTTTCCCTCTGTTTCCCAAGTTTTTCCCATTAATTTGTGATTTCCACCAACCCCCCAAAAGAAGTCTGCATGAAAATTTGTTTGCATTTCCCCGAGAGTGCGCATTTTTGCATGTGATTCAATGCAAGCATTTTTTGCAACCAATTTTCCCAACACAAGGTAGTTTTGAACATTATTGTCACCAGGATATCCATTTTTAGAGAACTGCACCATAAAATTCAGAGCAGTGTGGATTTCCAAGGATAGCCATGTGCTTCAGTTCGTTCACTGGCCAGCAATTGCAAATTGAGTACATCCAAAGTAACAAGAGAACAGGAAAAATTATCTCCCTGCCCCCCCACCCCCCACCCAAATCCCTATAATCCAAGCCTTTGCCTTTGCCTACTGGGCTGTTTGGGTTGCGATCTATCAGCTCTGAAAAGAGGACCTTTAAGTGTCTAGCTCATACATTGCAAGCTCAGAGAGGATGCTTTTAAGGGAACACAAGAACATCTTCTATGGGATTCGACTCTGCCAATCAAAGGGCCTGTCAGCGTCAGCATTAATGGCTTCCCTTTAATGGTGACTGAACTGTTGTTCATATCAAACGGACCATCTAAGCCTTGCTCTCTTGGCGTGATGCCCTCAGAGGAAATGGAGGCGCTTAGAAGTACCGCACATCCCTCCTTCACGCACACACACAGTTTTTAAAAAGTAGCCACTCATCCCAGGCAGTAGCTTTTTTCACCGCTGTTTTTTTACCCCCTGCATGGTATTTAACTTTCATTTGCTAAGAAAAACAATTTGCATTTTTAATAAACGTAACAGCAGGCTCTTAAAAAAAATTAATTATTCAAGGCAAACACTTGCAAACTGTCAAGCCTCTTCAGCTTCTCACAACTGGGAGCTTGTAGCAGGGAAAGGAGGCTACTCTGGGGTCCACATATTCCTTCCCCAAATCCCACGACCACCGCATGATCTTTCAGCAAAAGGTGCCACACCACCAACCTTCCTTTCCAGAGATCCAAGCAGAAAGCTGCTCCCATCCTGCTGAGTCCACTGGAACCCAGAAAGTGGCCTCATACCAGGTTCCAATATTTGCCCATTTGATTAACGCCACCTCTGAGAGGTATTGGCCCTCCAGTGTCATGGACAAAAAAGGTATTCTCTCTCTCTCTCTCTCTCTCTCTCTCTCTCTCTCTCTCTCTCTCTCTCTTAAACTGGCCATAACCAGATTGAACTCACAACCTTTCCCATGGAAAGCATAATCATTTTGTCTACCAGTGAAATACTGGTATACTCCCCATAACCATTGGAGGTAGTGTTGACTGAGGTCTGATTTCAGCAGAGACATTTAGAGCTAGAGTTGGAAGGTAGGGACACGGGTGGCGCTGTGGGTTAAACCACAGAGCTTAGGACTTGCTGATCAGAAGGTCGGCAGTTCGGCAGTCAGAAGGTCGGCAGTTCGAATCCCCGCAATGGGGTGAGCTCCCGTTGCTCGGTCCCAGCTCCTGCCAAGCTAGCAGTTCGAAAGCATGTCAAAGTGCAAGTAGATAAATAGGTACCGCTCCAGCGGGAAGGTAAATGGCATTTTCATGCGCTGCTCTGGTTCGCCAGAAGTGGCTTAGTCATGCTGGCCACATGACCCAGAAGCTGAACGCCGGCTCCCTCGGCCAGTAAAGCAAGATGAGCGCCGCAAGCCCAGAGTCGGCCACGACTGGACCTAATGGTCAGGGGTCCCTTTACCTTTTACCTAGAGTTGGAAGGTACCCAAGGATAATCTAATCCAACCCCCTGCCATGCAGGAATTGCAGCTAAATAATTCCTGACAGATGACCACCCAACTTCTGCTTAAAAACCTCCAATGAAGGAGAGTCCAACACCTTCCAAGGAAGTCCCTTAGATTGTTTTGGAATCTTAGGAAAGGTTGGATTCTTTTAGAACCTGCAGCTGTATCCAATCTAGCGCTAGGTGCTAAGTCACTTAGCAGCATACTTGTTCCACTGGTTTAGCACCAGTGAAATGTTGTTGCACGAGATAACGCACAAGCAGGTTGCTGGCAACTTTGTGGCACAACAGATTGCGAAATCCGTGGTGCAATCAGTTTCTGTTAGTGCAGGTATGGCGTCGGATTCATCTGTTGTGCAACATTAAAACTCACTTTGCACTAGAGGACAGAGAGTGTTGGATAGAACCCTATGCCTGGAAAATCCAAGAGCTAATTCGCATCACCAAAGAGGCCTATTGAAAATATGAGAAGAGCAGTTATGCTGTGTTTTGGCTTGTGGTCTCTGGAAGCACAGATAGCCTGAGACCTGGATATGCCCCCTGCCACAAGGAGAACCCAATTTCTTAAGGCCAGTGGGGGCTGCTAACTTCTAGACATCTGGTCCTGCTGAAATAAATAAAAGGAGAGGGGCCTTTTTCAGGGGTGGTCTCTCCTTAGATAGGCTCCTAGGCAAGCCCTGGTTCTAATCTCAATCATGCCCCAACTAGGAACACGGGAAGATACCATATACCAAGTCAGACCAATGGTCCATCTAGCCCAGTGTTGTCTACACTGGCTGGCAGTGGGTTTCCAGGGTTTGAGGCAGGGACTCTTTCCAAGCCCTTCCTGTAGATACCATTGGGGATGCCCGGGACTTTCTGCACGCAAAGCAGGTTATGCTGTATCGAAGGTGAACAGCTTTAGAAGCTGTGCTTACGCCATGTTGGCACTCAAGATAACCTTTTCATTAATCAAAAGCCGCTGTGGTTCTGGGCTCATACATGTTTAGATATGCCTGCTTTGATGAACTAATTGGCTTGCTTTGATGGTACCCTTATCCGTGGGAACTGGGATGTTGGGCTCTGAGCCCAGAAGAGGAACTATCTGTAATGTTTCGGGTACTGGCCACCTGCACCCTGGCCATCTCTTTGCTGTGGAGCCCGTCCCATGGAAGGCTTTGAGCTGGGCCAAGGGGAACTGCTGTGCTGTAAACCTATGCCTTTCTTCAATAAAAGCATTAGAACTGGCCATTCTGGTGTCTTTTGGATCCTTCCTCGGGACTCCCACGTCTCACAAACTCCCACAAGCTTTCCTCCAGCTCTGCGACTGTGGTTTGGGTTTACAACACAGGTGCCCTGCCAATGGCCCTTCCCCAGTCTGGGCAAGCTCTCAGCCTGCACTTTTTCCCTCTTCAATAATGATCTACCAAAGAGCGTTATCGGGAAATTCTCTAAAACCATGTCAGGGAAGCGCTTTGGAGATTCTGCAGCGTTCTATAGTGTGACAAGTGTCACTCTTACTCAGGGGCCGGTGGGAAAGCAAAGCATGTTTGGGGAAGGAGGAGGAGCCCCTCTTTATCCCCCCCCCTTTGAGTGCAGGAGCCAAACAGCAATCCT